CTCGCGACACATTGTCGCGGGGAAGTCGCTTCGTCGCAGACAATGGCGGTTTGTGTTGGACGAGTCTCCCGATTTTTTTTTTTTTTTTTTTNTTTCATAATAACTTCTCAAACTTTCTTCTTTCTCACGTTCACGAGGAAGAGATTAGAAAATCTGATAGAAAATAACCATAATAATTTACTTATTGCTGCGAGCATCTTGTTTTTTTTTTTTTTTTTAAACAAATGTAATTTAGACTTGAAAACATTTAAATGTTAAAAAAATGATTTTATTAATGAAATATGAGTATTACATGAAGAGACTGATTAAAGCATTAAAAAAAGTAATTGATAATTTTCATTAGAGTTGAAAGATGTGAACAAATTTATAATTCGATTTTTATTACACTTGATTGTATTGTTTTTTTTCTTTCTCCGAAAAATTAACTATCTCTAACAGTATAATTTTCGTGACATTGTAACATATCCTTGAGCCACTTGCTCTAAAAAGTAAGAAAACTATTATGGCGTTGTGGAACGTGTTTTCTTCTTATGTAACTCGGAAGAGAGATAGTTACACATTACATACTTTTTATTACTAAAATCATAAGAGGTATTAATATAAATGAGCTCTACAACAATCCGGCGATGCTGTTTCATGTAATCGCTTAGAAATTCTTAATTTCACGCTACTTCACACTCACCGGTCGTGCATTCTTCCACCACGCGCTCCACGTTGCCGGAGAATTCGCGATGGATCCGCGATCAGCGAGAAGCGGCGACAAAATTGTCGTCAGAATCTTTTAATTCGCACGATTCTCTCGATGCACTCTTTCAACACATGCGATATATATAATAACAAATAGACGCGCCGAACGATTGATAAACGAATATTAATAAGCAGCAAATGTATTTTCACGTGCGTTTAAAAAAGACTTTTGTTGAAATAAAATCACTATCGGCGTTCGCCGATTCGTTCGATCGCGTTCGCGCAATGACCAGCCACTTCTACTTGCCGGATAGTCCAGCTTGCAGCGATCGGTCACCACTGATCCTGTTCTCGGGGCGAGTTTAGAGCAAGTCGCGCCAATCGACTACCTTAATGCGATACTCGCGATCGCGTCCTGCCTTCATAGTTCCTTATCGAAGAGCGGAGTGTGCACCGTCCTGGTGGTGGAAAGCTCCCTAAAAGCGCGCGTTGCTGGCTCGTAGAGAGGAAACGAAAGGCGGTAAAAGAGGGGCGGGGGGAGAAAGAGAGACGAAACGCGAGAGAGGTAGAGGAAAGTTATCTCACCTTACTTTATATACTCGCCAGGTAAGCGAGAAGTTAGCGAAAAAGAAGGAGAGGAATCGGGGAGAAGGAGAAGGAGGCATATAGCTCTCCCCCGTCCGCGTCTTACTTTCCTTTCTCTAAACGAGCCGTACTCGCGGCTGCTGCCCTCGATTCGAGACATCGATTGTCTCGCCGGTCTCCGAAATACGCGCCGCCGAAAGTGCCGCTCGGCGCGACAATGGATGCTCTCTTTCTTCGGTTCACCTCTCGGTCACACTTTCGAGGATAACAACGTCGCGACTGTATCGTTCCATTACGATATCGCAATATCGGAGATGGATATATAAAAGTAACGGATATATATATAATGTAATTAAAAATTGATTTAAATATTGAAAATTAACTTTTTTTCAAACTTTTGCTATGCAGGGAAGCCACATTTGCAAAACACGATGCGCTTGTACTTAAGGATAGATTTATTCATTTTTTCAAAAACAAACAAGTAAACTTTTGTTTCCGCTTTGTAGGTTTATTCAAACTTAGACGATCAAACGTTGTTCGGTGTTATCATTTCTTGGCTTCATCCTTGTGTAAATCAGTTTACATAACTTTTTAAGTGAAACGATTCGTGTGTTACAATTTACGCATTGCGCCATAAGTTGCTGCATTCTTGTTGTATTTCTTTTAGAATTGCAACAAAGTGCAAATAAGATGCACAGCAGGAAGCTTAAAGTTTCGAGCAGACCTTGTTGCGCAAGCTCTCCGCATTTAGTCGCATTACGTAAAACATGAAAGTCATACTAGATGTGATCCGTTAGATCCTATGATCGATTGCATAATTCATCTGTATGTAAATCCGGACAGACATTGGCGGGATTGTAAGGATCGGTAATTAATCTCGTTTACATGACTTCACGAGATAAACAGATCGTTGGATGTTGTATGTTCAAGTTTTTTTTTTTTTTCAACAAATATATTTGATACAACAATATTTGATTGCTAGCCGGCAGAGAACACGATGCAATAATATAACGCAATTGAGAAAGTGTGGTATTGTATACTTCGTCTGACCATGAAATCGATTTTACTTCGCGACGATTAATCGCACAAATTAAAATACCGCATAAGAAACCGCACAAGAAACGTGACTGCAATTCCGATGACAATAATTTACGCCATTTGCAATTGCCTAATTGAACGTTTTGCATTCAATTGCTGATGAACAAAGAGAGCAGAGTCAAATTGACGCTGCGGAATCGAAAACAAACGCGAACAACTGTTTTGAAAAAAAAAAAAAAATAGAATCAAGATAGTTTTATTTTGGTTTTGTTCTAACATCGTGTGCATGTAAAGACTATTCTTGATAAAAAAAAGAAAACAGTAACGCGGTCATATTATTTTTTTTTCCATATCAGCCTTTCACTTTCCTTCTTCAGTCCAAAAGTTTTGCCACATCAATATATAGAGCACATTCATAGAGACGATAGTACTTACGAAACAGAGATGTTTAGAACGTATTGCTCGGGGCGACATATCTATCTTCATTCTATAATAAAGAGACAAGGTGTATGCATAGCTATAGACACGTCGTTCACTATGCAAATAATTGGATCTAACGCATAAGACGTGCAGTTGACGATAATTTAAGACATGGATTATGAAATTCATGTGTCTCGGTTTATTCTATAATTAAACACCATTCTACAGCAAACAAAATAAACCGTCTGTGTTGAAACATAAAATCTACGTTAAGATACAAAATTTATTAATTAAACTTTTAATAAAAAAGCAATTTAAGTAAAGTCTACATAATTGAAGTCTACATCGATGTAAATTGAATTGCCTTAACGAGAAGAGAAAATTGCGTAGATAACTTGCAATTTCCTTTTCCCGATCATTAAATATCTTGCTTCTGTGACCTCGTCCGCGAATAAATAATTCAACTAGAACGTTTATCTAGCGTCCTTTCGACTGCACACACACGTGACACACGAATAAATAGACTCTAATAAAGCAAGATTGAATTGCAATGTCTTAAAAAAAATCCACCGCACTTTGTGAAGTAAAATCAATATGCGTGACTGTTATATTTCTTTTTGAAAATTCTACAATAATCTAAAACATTTGAAAAATTAAATACTTTACAATTATTACAAGATCGTACGTGTATTTTTTAATTACAAGCTTTGCATACATAAATTATTTTGTCTTTTTGCGAGTTCATCGCGCGTTTACTTCAAGATTACCTAACAAGCTTCGAACGTTTTAACAGTACGTGATTTTTGTGCGTGATTTTTTACTGAATTGCGGAAAAAAACGCGTTTGCTGTGTTGCAATTGCATTAAATGCAAGATTGACAGGCCGTCGATAGAAAAAAACAGACACAAGCGTACGTAATAAACAAGCGCGCGACAAAATTGCAAGTGTGTTACGAGTAAATTTATAATATTCGCCCCTTCGACGGGGTAAAGAGAACAATTAAAACGATTGACGCAACCACACGGCATTCCCGCGGCTAATAAGTGAGAGCCGCGACTGACCGAACACCTTTGAGAAAGAGAATTTACACGGCACGTCGAGAGACTCCCTTTGCGCGCGCAAATATATGGATGTGGAACGTAAAGTTTAACGTACTGGCTTCAGTTGGACAGACTCGTTTTTACGTAACAACATCGGCCAGCTTTTCGATACATGTAACATATTACAATCCAGCAAGAATGTCAAGCATGTTCTAATGTTCACAGAAAATAGATTAAGATAGGACAAGGTGTACTGATAAAATCGTTTATTTCTATATTTTCTGCAAATTTGATCATATTCACGTGTTTAATACATTCTGAAAATGTTTATTATGATTATTACGTGCATTTGAAAAATATTTATAGTCGTGTCTTCTTCTTTCGTCTTCTTCTTTTGAGCAAAGTACAGCTTATTATGTCACTGATGAAAATTTAACGTGCGCATTTTTGATTAAGATGTCACATGTGTGGTCCATAATTTAAGTGACAGAAAGCCACTTTTAATTAAACGCTTGATGTGCGCTTGGAATTTGCGTGATTACAGAGTGACGAGGTGTTCTCGGGTGGCCTCGCCTTTCTTTCATACAAATATTTTAACAAAAATTATATTCATCTCGGTTTTTAACTTCGCGATTCGACGTATTTCCAACAGCAATTATTTTTACAAAAAAATATTAACAAAGTTATGTAACGCGATTTTTGGATTATCCAGGTATGATTGCCGAAAGAGTTTAAAAGAGTTTTAAGCAATAATAACTTTTTAAGTTATCATTAGTTTATTATACATTACTTATATTTTTTTGTTTTGAATTTTATTTTATACTGCGGCTTATGTATTTGATGACAATATAAAAAAAAAGGATATATACTTTCTCTGCCGCACTGAAAAGCAGACCAACGATTTCAGGAGTCACGAGGTCAAGTCGAAATGTGAACAATCATGCACTGTGAAATGACGTTTTTTTTTTTTTCAGATTTTGTGTCACAATAATTAATAATATTTTGCATAATCTCAAATCCGCAATTTTTAAAAGAGAAATTAATCTTACTTATCATTTCTCATTTCTAACGACGAAACAAAGTTGCTGCGAACATTTGATGCAATTCTTCGTCATGTTACAGCAACTTGAGATACTTGGCACGAACGTCAGACACTCTCCCATATTGGTAATTTTCTGGTCGCCATTTCACGGTTTTATCCGTGGGTAATAAGAAATCGTTACCGATCCTGATGGCGTGAATGAACCGACGAAATCCGCACTCAATGTCACTTGTTATTTCGTAATGCAATACGGATTATCACACTTTATTATTTTTATCGAGCATATTGCGCGCTACATTTCTCAAAATATAATTTTAGCTCGTAATACTTTACATAATGGCGTAGCACACTGCCACATTGTATATTCTGCTTAAAAACTTTTACAATTTTTCCCGACATATAATTTTCATTTGCATTTTCAAATAAATTAGCAAGATACGCGTGTATTTTTAACTGTTTAATAATTTCCAAATATGTTTTTTTATAAAATTATGACAGTGGAAACTGTCAAAATAAATTTTTATGGAAATCAAATTTGTGTATTAAAAAAAAAAGTGTTTTATGAACGATACGTAAGTGACCTTCGTGTCAAAGAGAAACATGCAACGTTAAATTATCCGTTATTGAGTAACGTTATTGTCGCTTCAAGCCATATTTCGTTGCTGTGATCTTGATCGATCGCTTCGAAATGAATCGAAAGTTTCAGTACAGCATGTGTGTAAAGTGTCTATATATATATAAGTTTGTTTATATTCAAATTATCTTTTTTTTTGAGAAAATAAAAAAGGATAGAGAGATGATTATGTGCGACAAGAAACTAATATAAATCAGTTATACAAACAGTTTATTTAGAAAATACAAATCCAATTTTGAAAGTCAAAACACACATGTTAAAGCTAATATGCTGCCAACAATTTGTATTCATTGAAAAATTACGCTTCAAAATTGAATGTGTCGATCTCTCATCAATAAGTCTTACACTTATTTAGCAATAGAAATCTAACGCGAGTAAACTTGAGAAAAGAAAGAAAGATAGAGAGAATTAAGTAATTTAAAAAGAATTAAGCAATTATATATTTGCAATATAGATTTGAAATTAATTGGCCAATATATCATACAATTTTATTAATAAAGTACCATAACAAGTAAGAAATTAATAGCAGAGAGTGTATCTCGTTAAATGATCTTAAATGGTTCTCAAATATTTGTGGTCTTGCTTGAGGATATTTATTTTATACAGACTCATTATCGCGTTCGAAAATATCGCACATATGAACATCACATCATGTTTTCTCGAACACGCTTAATCGCTCATAATTCATTTTTTCGACGGGTGGGCCAAATTTAGTGACGAAATGGATACGAATCCTTGATCAAGTCAAGGCGACGCCGGAACTTCCCTCTGGAAATTTTTAAACAGGT